ATTCCCAACACTTCCCCTACAGCAAAAGCCAAAGAGACAGCCCCAAAATAAATCTGATTGTTTAGTTTATGGAACTGCACCTGAGTCTAACAACACATACTGGCAACTCCAACTGATCCTTGTTTTTTACAATGAAAATCAGTGAAAATGTACAACATTCTAATCTGACCTATACATAATTTTTGTATTAACACACAGTGTCAGGATTCCCCCAAGAAACTTGGACCCAAATGCAAAACTCAACAGGCACTGAAAAGGGTGAAGGGTTATTAGTGGAGGCAGAGCTGCAAACAGGGAAGATGGCTGTGGCATGCGGGTAAGACTGAGGAGCTGTCTCATCACGGAACAATATACTTGGGCTGATGGATCCCAAGGTCTCTCCAGGCAGTCTACTCTCCATGTACTGACCAGGCTCAGCCCTGCTTAGTGTTCCAGAGAGTGCAAAGCACATCCTGGAAATAGTGGCAACAAAATAAGGCTAACTCTGGAGAAGAAATGGAGCAGACAGAAAACAGGTCCGGTGAACAGATGGCTGGAAAAACACTGCAGCTCAGTAAGTGACAAGTGCTAGGCAGCCAAAGAGTCAGGGTCAGGTAGGGTGTAGATCAGGTTGCAGGTAGACAGGGGTCAGGTCTGGAGAACAGGTAACAGGAGATGACAGGACAGCACATCATGCAACCAGTATGGCAAGGGTGGAACCAGGCAAGCAAGTAACAAGTTTGGTGACAAGGATCAGGCAGGCAGAATGCAGGTCTGGTGATAGGTGATGACTGGAATGCACAGCACAGTGCTGAATGATGATCTGGCAACTGGAGCAGAGAAACAAGGCAGTATATGTAGAGTGGAGACAATGAGCGATGGGTGAATGGAATTAGTCAGGTGACCTGAATCAGCCCGTGGTTGGTATTGAAGTGGGAGAGAGTGGGCTGGTGACAACTCGGAAGGTCCTTTCAAAATAAAAGTCTAGCAGGAAGGCAGGGGTGGACCATGACACTGCCATTTTCAGAAGCTTGTATACTGGAGTATTTCCATACATCCATTATCTATACCGCTTATTCCTGAACAGGGTTGCAGCGGGGGCTGGAGCCAATCCCAGCTGACATTGGACGAGAGGCGGGGTCCACTCTGGACAGGTCGCCAGTCTGTCACAGTACTGGAGTATTTGCAAGTAGCAATGAACAAATTAAATACTAATCAACTGCAGTTCCAGTGTTTCACTGACCTGTCAGATTCTAAGTCTTTTATTCTGTATACTTTTAATCATGACAGCCTCTTCAAGATCAAATTATTAAGTCATACTGTAGACCAGCTAGACAGACTACAGTGACTTACAACATAAACCAGATAACACAAATGTGTCACAAGATCAGAATTAAACACTCACAAGTATAAGTGAGGTTTCCCCCTCTATGGTCACATGTTTTTGCTGGTGTTTGCAGAAATTATGGCCCTTTCTTTGTTTTAAAAATCATATTTTTTCAACAATTTGAAACAATTAATTTATACTTTAAAACATTTTTAGAATGAATTTTAAAAACACATTGGAATCAGTGGTTTACAAGAGTCCACAGCTGTACCCTCAGCTGTCAGTAACATTTCAGTATTATTTTCCACAGTTGCACAAATTTCAGTGTAACATTAGTTTCATTTTCTTTACAATAACTAAGCCTCTGTTTGTGTGTTTGTGTGTTTATGTCGGCTGTGCATGTAAATTTGGTGGCGTCCATTTGTGTGGTTGCTATCCCACAAAGTGCATTAGCTCATTTGAGTCTTGTCAGACAGCACTTCTCAAATACAGTGACACAAATTGTTGAGGGAGGCAATGAGTGTGTGCGTGTGTGTTCGTGGGTAGACAGGCAAGTGGCCTGCATCATGAGAGCCATGCATCCACATTAGCAGCCCCCACCCCTCCAATTAGGTTAGGAAAGTGCAATATCTGTCAGCAGAGGAGTACAAATGTGTGTGTTTTTATCAGCGTTGGGCCCCTAAGGCGCAGAGGCCACAGCAAGCTCCCACAATGCACAGCAGGGCTGGAGGGAGGCAAAGGGGAGGGGCAGAGCATGCTGGTTTCAATCAGTGACTGCAGCCAATTGAATTAGAGTGTGTTTTAGTGCAGTGGCCGACTCCAGACTAATGTGATTTCTGCAGCTCCCTGAACATCAATTGATCAGGCCTAATTCACAGCCTTCAAAAACAGAAAGAAGAAGAAGACTGAGGAGGAGGGTGTAAGGGGCATCTGACTGTTTTGGTGGGCTCTGTTTAGGATGTTTGATTGAGGGAAATGGGCAGATGGTTTGATTTTGTCAGCTGATTTTGGCCATAGTGCCGGAATCAGGAATTACGAGAAGTGTGTGTTTTGGCAGCGTCCATAAAAATCCTTTGGAGGGGGAGTTGTAACTGTAGGAGTGTGTGTGTGTGTGGCAGCGAACACGCACCGTTTCCTCTCTTTCATAAAACATACAGTCAAATAAAATAGAAAATATAACTGCAAATAGATAAGAAAGACAGAAAGGAGGAATGAAGGGGGAATGAAAGAAAAGAAACAACATGAGAAGACAAGAAGCAAAATGCACAAAGAATAACAAACTAGAAAGAAGTCAAGATGAAGAAATGACAAGCAAGGACAAAATGAAAAGAGATAATATGGAAGGAAGGAAGGACAAACAGGTAAAAAGAAAAACAAGTGAAAGAAATAACAAAACAAAAAAAAAAGTCAAAGAAAGAATGAAGAGACAAGAACTATATGAAAAAAGGGGTGGATGAAAGAAAGACAAGGACGTAAAAACTTAAGGATAGAAGAGAAGTTTAAAAACAACAGAAAAATGAAGGTATAAACAAGGGAGACAAAGAAGGAAAGTTGGAGAGAAGGTAGACAAAAGAAAGTTGGAGAAAGAAATAAAAAAATACAAAAAGGAACAATTAACAACAGCATCAAGACAAAAGACATGTAAAGAATGAAAGAAAAAATTAAAATGAAACAAAGAATTACAGATGTTCAACATCATGTGTTTCATACCGACACAAACAGAAATAAATAAACACAGTATTTACTAATGAACTGCGCGCACACACACAGTCCTTCCTCTCTTATTGAAGGCAGCAGTACAAAGGTAACCCCACAGTGCAGGACCCAGAATCCCCTGTACCTCTCCATGTCTGTCAGCCGTGACGAATCCCGGAAGCCTTTGGCAAACGGGTTGCTGTCAATCTTCAGTTTGGTTATCTGGAAAAACAGAGCAGGTGAGTGGAAAGGGTATGTACCCTATGTATGTATGGACTCATCCCTCATGATCCTTCACCCACCCCCACCCGCCTTTTCTCTTTATTTTCAGCCTTTTCTTCATTTGTTTTTGTCAGAACCAGTCAGTCTGCCCCAACATGCTCCCTCCTGCAGCTTGGCTCTGTTCTCTGTAGCACTACCACAACACTACAAACACAGTATGGAGCTCAGGCTTAAAAGTATAGTCATTAATAACAATCATTTACTTGCCATTATTGCTTCTGCAACAAAACAAGCCATAAGTTGGGGGACACCAGGGAACAGAAGAGACATTTGGCCCTGAAAACCTGTTTTCTCAGTCACCTTCTGTTGAGCAGGGAGGTCCCAACAGAGCAGCTTTAATTCTGATTGTTGTTAGTGTTTCTACAGAAACACTTCTGCATTCAAACCAAGTTTTTAGGGGCTATAACATGTTGAACAAGGTTGCCAAAGCAAGTGTATAACTGTCATTTTGTAGTTTAATGTTATACAAGGTTTTTACCCAATGAACTTCTAGCACAGTAACACACGAGCTGTCTATGAAGAACTGTAAGGTGCTTTTTCATAAATCCTCACAATAAAACTAGGCTAAACACAAGCATGAATACAGCACTACCAGTGTTTTTGGCCCAGTGTTAGCATTTAAAAAAAGAAAACGATTAATTCAGTGATGTAGCAACCCTAACAAATTATAGTTAGGGTTGTTAAGTTTTACCTTAGAGGTGTCACAGATGTGTTGCTTACTATACAAAACTATACTAATGTGTATGGTGCATTAAAAACTTCAATTGATACCTGTCAGAATCACTTGTAACAGGCTGCAAACATTCCTTGTTTTATTTTGGGCAGACAACCTAACACTGTATCATAACTAATCCTTGTCCCGGGTGGTTTTCCCATGGATACTAACCGAGTTATTGCGTGGTTCTGTATCCACCCAAATTGGGCCAGTTTTGACCCAGTGATTTGTCACTGCTCATTTGGAAAGACAACTTTCTCTGCCCTGAAGATGTGGCTTTCCTCGCTCACTGTTTGTTTTGGGCCTTCCAATATTAATGCAAAAGTTTAGTAGCTGTTCTTAAACTTTGGATATTGATCACACAATCTTCCTCAACAACGATAAACTTTGAACATCAACTTTACTGCTGTTAAAAAAACCATCTACAACTCCACATCAACTGGGCAAGCTGCCCCTGCTGAAGAAAACTATGATACAAACAGAAGCTCCAGAGCAGCTATGAAGCAGAGTTTGTAGCTATGTGTTGTTTAAACGTTTCACAGAAACCAGCAGCAGAGTTCAGCAGAAGACATGCTGTAATAAGGCGAAGCACTCACCAGCTGGTTCTGATAGGCCGTGACAGCCGTGAAGACGGTCTCCACAAAGACGAATGTGCGAAACTCCTCAGACTTGAGGTTGAGCAGCGAGGCGGTGTGGTCTTTCTTCTTGATTATGTGGACCCGGGGCTGGTACTTGTGCATGGAGTTAAGGATGATCTGCAGAAGGCAAGCAGAGCTGCAATCAAAAAAAGGATGAGACAGGAAGCTGTAGAGGACAACGGTGACTCGGCCTCACCAGGCACATACCTCACGATGAGGGTCAGGTCTGTAAAATTCACAGTGAATTGCTGTTTGAGGTTTGAGCTCTAGATTTATCTTTATTGCCATTATACAACACAGGGCTACACAATGAAATGCAGGTTCAGCCCCAGTACACATAATAAAATGTAAACATGAGATAAGAAAAAAAACACTGCAGGTAACAGCTGTACTGAAGGAAGAGAAAAGCGAGTGATAGTGATATCGGCAAAACACCACAGATGTTCATGCTTAGTCATTTTGATAACGTATAAAATCTTTGTTTAATATAAAAAAAGATCATGTGATATGACCAAAAGTGCCAGAGCAGCTACTAAATGTGCTGAGCTTTTGTTTTATAAATATATTAAAATGCTGTCAATATACAAAGAAAATAAGAGTAAATAAATTAGTAAACAACCACTGAAACAAATCTGTAATAGTATCAAAGAAATATCAATGAATTGCTTTTGACTTTGTGCATATTTGCAGAGATTTTCAGATGAAAAGACCTCATATCCAGCCGACTTACTGGTCTGGCTGAAAGGGAGGGGGAAGGCCGACAGACGGAGAAAAAGGACATAGAAAGACAAACACGTAGAGTAAGACGACAGAGAGAAACAACATCTAAGGACAAGATAAAAAGACGGAGGGAGGCACAGGCTGACGAGGCTGCAGCAGCACGGGGAATGTTTCCCTCCACAGTCACTCCTGTCTGGCTACAGCCTGAGAAAACTGATATTTATGTTCCTCAAACTGACTGACAATAAATGAGTATGATACAATGTACATGTAGCATTTTGTATTTAACACAACATTCATTCATACAGACAAATGACACAGGCTCAAGGGCTAAAGGGTGCAGGCACAACTGGAACCACATGCGAGTCTGTTTGAGGGACCGTCTTGGTTTATAAAATAAAATTTAAAAAAAACACATAATAAACACTATGTCACAATCATCCATGCAGCTGCTTGTTTTCTCAATGACATTTTAAGATGTTATTATTTTAGAAACATGTCCATTCAGTGAAATTTCTTAACAGCGACGCTTTATTTTATTTCTGTCAAGTGGCCTTTGGACACCATGAATTTCATCCATTCATTTGCCAGTTTCTCAGTAAAAACAGGAATTTCATGACTGATATGAATTAATGATCAATGTGTGACAGAAATAATAGTGAAACTTTAATATTATAATATAAAACAAAAGCAGCATATCTCACTGCCATTTAGAAAACTAGAACCTAAATATCTTTTTTCAAAAATGCTGACATTCAGGTAAAGCGAAAAATGTTCTCCTGAAACTTTTCTCCTATTGGTCT